CAGCAAAAAAAAACACGGGTTCCGTCGGACAGGCATTGCGGATTTAGGTCGCGTTCCTCTCATAGGAAGCATATTATTCTCAACAGAGAAACAATCTAGACTCAATCAAGGATTTCGGGCCTGAGTTGCAGTGCTCGCCAGTTTCAGTCGAAGAAAGCAGGAAAATCAGTTTGGACTTTCAGCAAAGGAATCAAGCGTTAGTTTCAACTTTCATGACCTGAGCATCAAGCAGGTAAATCAAATAATTGTTCAGAAGGAAACTCTTCCCGTCGCATGGAAGTCAGAAGGAATCAAAAGCCTCGGTTGGTTTCATCGTCTAATCAGGTTGGTGAGGGCAACCCCCCACTAAGGTGGCGCCCGGAGGGAATGCCACACTGAATACACACTTGAGCGGACCAAGAGGTCCAATGGGTGGCGGCTGCAATTCTTTTCTCTTTCTCCTTGTTATTTCTTTCAAGAACACTTAATCCAAGGTGAAAATCTTTGATCTGAGGCGTTGATATCGACACTATCGATTAGGGAAACTATTCAATGTTTGCATGTTGCTGGCTGACCACGACGCGTCCCATGTCTGAGCTTGCAATCACTCATGCTTGACTGGCAAAGGACATGTCTGAGCTTGCAAGAACATGTTTGAAACACAACCGGCATGTTTGAATACTCATTTCTGGGAAAAGGAAAAGGGCCTGACTTTCATTGTTGACCAATCCAGCTGCGCTCTCAGCACCCAGGAGCTGGTCAGCAGTTACGTTTACACTGCACAGAAGCGTCTTCGTTGGCTGGAGACTTCTGTGATGCACTCCAGCCCCCTGCTGTTGGATTGTTTCTGGTTTCATTCTAACATGTGAAACAAGCAAGGTCAAAACTGATGAAAGCATTTTAGCTCGTGAGTACAGAGGTTGACACACACACACACACTTATGATAGAGACCTGAAGAACTTGCTCTTGCTGTGAGATGGGTATCCCACCACTCAACACTACCTGTCATTTGCCTAGTGCCATTAAAAATGCATGCGATCGACATCCAAGTAGTCCATAAAGTTGTTGTTTTTTGTGTTTTCTGGCGTTTGGCCGACCGTTCCAGGTGACACGTCAAACAAACACGATCTGAGTCTGACCTTTCAACGCAAAGCCTACACAGCACAGCGCGAGCCGCTGCACCTGGGGGCGTGGCGGTGGATGACCTGGATGGGCCGGAGCTGGATGCGGAGGTGGATAATGTGCGTACTGTGGCTGTGCATGGGGTGGGGGGTATGCATGTGGATGTGGTGGCACATGTGGTGGCACGTGTGGTGGCACATGTGGTGGCACGTGTGGTGGCACATGTGGCGGATGTGGATGTGGCGGCCATCCAGGATAAGCTTGTGGGACAGGGGCGCCTGGCTCCGGCAGGCACTCACATAAAATCAGCCTTTTCACAAAAGATCAACTGTTCCATACTGCCAGACGGCAGCCACATGTAACTGCATGGCCACAGGCCTAATCGTAAATCATCTTCCAAAAGCAGCTAGAAACTCCGATGGTCCAAGCAACAGCCACTCAGCCTGGCAAAGGAGCGGGAGGATCTGCAGCAGTCTCTCGATCTGATGACCTGGACCTGGGAATTCATTGCTTCAGTGACATGAGCTTCAGGCCTCACATTTGTATGGGACAAAGCTACACAGAGTGGGGGTCTAATTACTCATGCTGAGTTATGAGTTACGAACCTGTTTGGCAATGGAAAACGTCAGGGAAGCATGCGGAGAAGCTTTCAGTGACAAGCTTTCCATGAATTCTAAGGGATCGCACTCTGGCTCAGAAAATCTCCGATGACTGACCCCGGGCATGGTGCAAAGCATGACATGTCGGACATGTCGGACATGTCGTCTGGCTGGGTCACTCACGGGGAACGGCGTCGCAGCGGCGGATCGCCCCGGCGATGGATTAGGTCGTGGATCCTAAAATCGCACGGCAGGGAGAACAGCAATCTGGCACACTTCGTCCGGGACCCCAGGGTGCTTACCATCATGGATCTGAGTTGCCGACCGCTGCACAGCATCTTTGACTGCAGACTCTGAGCCTGAAACCGTAACCTGCCAGGACATTTACAGCCCATGGGTCGGACACATACGTTCCTAAGGTGTAGACAGTACTGCTGTACAGTTACATTCGCTCGATGATGCTCGATGCCTCTCGTGGCTCTTTGCTATCCGATCGCTCCACCTCGATGGAGGCACCGGTCTCCTTGACATACAGCGGGACTTGGGACTAAGTATGAGGTGGTCTGCCCATGAGGCTCATGATGTTATAATGATACATATTGATACTATTTGATACTCGCAAGCCTTCCGCAACTGATTGATCGTCGCTCCTGCCAGGCACTGCGCATTTGTCAGGAAATTCAGTGCGGCTGATTCGTTCAGATCCGCTTTGAAGCACCAACTTGCAACTGGTGGTAGAGTACTGTCGGTTGCACAAGTCTTGATGACTTGACCTGCTTTGCCGATCAGCACTCCAACGCGACGCACTGGACAGCTGACCTGATGAAATTAATGCACTTCGTGAAAGAACCGAAAATGGAATGCTCGGCTAGCGGAGTAAACAGCTGAGGCCGTGCACGATGGTGGTGATATCATCATCCCTCATCACTCTAGAAGTAGGTGCTGTCAAATGTGAACCTGGCTACTTCGACATGCACAATGGTGGCGGCATGTCGACCCGTGGCACCCCTAGTGTGACAATCATGGCACACTTGGCCATTACGAGACTTGCATGGATAGGGGAGAACTTGGAGGTCATAGACCTGGCTGGAGATGCAACCTTCCCGCGAAATATGATAGACTTGGTAGCAGCCCCTCTCCTTGGAACACCAACGGCTGCAGCATGTTGGTTGTTCAGGACTGAATAATTCACGAATGCGGCAATCCATGGCGCTGCACGGCACTGCACCTCACCATGCCGGGCTTTGCTTGCCTTACTGGGCGCAGCCAGTGCAAAGCAATCATGCACCCTCAGCTCCTTGGACTGTCCACGTGCCTTCGTGCCTTTGCGGCATGCTTGAAATCTGGGTCTGCGCATTTTGCACTGACCGAGCCAAGCCCTCAGCACGGACATCTTCAAGCAGCGACGAGTATTGAGACAATCTGAGTTCCACGAACTTTGCCAGAGTAAAAGGGAAGCTTTGAGAAAAGTTACATGATCTGGAAGACCTTTGTTCCAGCATCTCTTCTCTACGTTCTGCCCTGCTTCGGTCCGGCTCTGGCTTCCAGCAATGGCCTGCTCGGGGGCTCGATGAATAAAATTGCTAGCGGGCATCATGTCAACATTTGGCCATGAATGTGATCTGTGCCAACTGCCTCCGCCTAGCAATCACAGAGCTTCATGAATTATAATGTAATGTTTTTTACACACGTACGCGAAAAAAAATGTTATTTACACGTACGTGTAAAAAAAATGCACGTACGTGTAAAAACCTAATTATACTTCAAGATGTTCAGGGAGTGAGTTGCTCCTTGGCCTCGTCTGCACTTCCGGCAGTTCTGATGGAGCCATCGCCTACGAGGGCGCAAGAATCAAATTACAGACGTGCAAGCCAGGTCTACCAGGACCAATGATCGTTGCAAGGCTTGTGCACAAGCGTATCAGCATCAACCAGCAGAAGCACTGACTCTGCTAGACCAGCTAGGAGACAGACCTGCCTGCCTATCCGTCAACAGCTTTGCTCTTGCAACTGCTCCTTTTTGCTTGGCGAGTACATGCATGTACATGCTCCAACTGCACAGGCTTATGCGTTCGTTGGCCTTTCAAACCTTGAGATGTGGTTGGTGTTGCAGTGGGTGCTGCCAGATTCCTTTGTAAGCTGCTTCATGACAACGCAAATGTCCCAAGTCAAAGCGCCTTGGCCGCGGTAACGTACTCAAAACGATTTCCCCTGCCGAGCACAGTCGAGCGGCATGGCCAAGTCACAAAATCAGAAAGCCAGCCCTTTCAATTTAAGGCTTCTAACTTCTTGAAGCTGAGAAACACACAACTTGATGAGAGCTACTCTTGAGAGCTTCCTGAAGGCCACATTCCAGAAGGCGAGGATCTCCACCAGGATCCCGTAGGGGAGCACCTAACAGGGCTTTTTCTGCTTGCAGGTCCGTGCCATCCGCCGGCTCATACAGGCTTGCGGCTTTCTTGAGGCGTTGGCTTGAGGCAGCTACAAACAAAACTTGCTGCAAGGTTGCCAGCAAGCTCTGAGGGTGTAGCTTGTTGCTTGGAGGAGAATTGCATGTGTACACCTCTCTGTGAGTACGGCCCCTAGGCGTCTCGTCACCCGCTTGCTGACATGTTCATCCCCAGTGGAAATGACGTTCTGGTTACAAAGTTACAAAATGTTGTTGTTCACGCAGTACGACAGAGCTCTAGCGGTCTAGCGATTCTCTCAGCATCTAACACCTTCAGAACCTAGCCATTTGAACTGAAGACTCCACAGCCACGATGTTCAGGTTGCTACTGTCTAGAACTTGGGGGTCACAACTCTACTTGCCTCGCGCAGGCCTCTCGCTTGGCTCTTAGTTTGCACGCGTCCGCATCGAATGCGATCTCTACTCTCATAACTCCCGAGATCGAGGGTCTTTATCGGCAGCGATACAACGAAACCGGCAGACTTAGCACAAGCTCATGGCTGAGCGCTATTGAGTGCCGGTACAGTCTGGCAGACTTTGTACGCTCGCTCGGGACTAAATGACCATCACTCAGTTGCCACGTAGAATCACAAACGTGAGTTGCGTGAATTTCCCCTGGCGACAACATGTTGGGCACATTGCAGCAAGTACTATGCAATTTACTGAGCGGTACTGCAAGCCCATGACTGGTTTGAGCTCCGGCCATAGACGTGTTGTCTGTCTGTTTCCTGCGTGCAGGTGCTAAGCGCGGTGCCAGAAGACCGGTGCAGACCAAGCCTTACGCGAAGAACATGAGTAACGTTCAGCTACACAGCTGATCTTGAGAACTCAAATCCTCCTTGATAGCCCAAGACCATGGCAGTCCCACAGCACAAGACCTGCCAAAGCGAAAGCGGCATGTTTGTTGTGCGTGTTTTTACATCTGGATCATAACAATTTAGGCGCCTGTCAGGGTCATCAATGATGAGCCGCACGTTGTCGGTAAGCCGCCAGCCTGCAACAGCACACCTTGACTCCCAAACCCTCCACGTGTACCTACCTCCATCCTCGCTGCCGGTCTTAATGGAATTGAGGAGATGGGGCGACCGGTGATCAGACCGGCTTAGCACAACCCATTGCACTATACCCATCCAAGAACTTTGCCTCCGACGTCCAGAGCGAGCCTGAGCGCACAAGTTGAGATGTGCTTTCGCGATTTGGCTTTCTTGCAGCTTGTCGCGGAAGCTGGGCGCTGGGTCACAAAAAGCCAGCCGCATTTATGAGATTTTATGAATGCCAACACGGCGTATGCGTCGTCCAATTGAAAGTTCCTTGCGGAGGCTGCTGTGGACAAGGCGGGGAAAGTACTGCTCCCCCAATGGGTGACATGCACAAACACGTCGAGGATTAAGCAGCTTGTGACAAGGCTGCAACCGTTGTGATTTAAGATTTAAGCTCCTGGCTCCGATAATGACCTGGCAGGTTTCGAGAGCATGCTCCCTTACGGGTCGTTTGTAAGCTCAATTGCAATGCCTGTCGCTGAAGGACTCGCATGCATCGGTCTTGCTTCTCAGGGCCAATTGCAAAGGAGCTCTCCGTGGAAGGAGAAGATGAGAAAACTAATATGTAGATTCACCTCGTGAATGCTCAGGCGGCCAGTTCTGTAAGTGGGATTACAGCCCGCATTGCTGTGACATAAGTCTACGTATTCTACGTAACCTCCAAGGGCCAGGGTGAAGAAGCTGTGATGAAGACAGAAATCTGTCGGATTGTTTTAAAGGTGGCCAGTAGAAATATGCCCTCAAACAACACGCTCAACACTCAAGCTCCTGCAGAAAGCGACCTCGTTCCAGGGGCTTGAGGTAGGCGGTGGACACCATAGACACGCTGGCAGCAACTATCAGCGCCTCAGTTCCGAAGTGTTTCCGGCAGTGTCCCATCAGCTGAAAACCTTTCACAGAACAGTCAAAGTGACAATTAACTAAGAGCATGTCTAATGTGTCAGCCATTGGACCGAACGCAGCCAAGCACTTGTGACATCTTGTCACTCGTTGCATTGATTCTTTCCAGGCGCGTTATCTGGAACAAGGCCAGCTTACTCAACTCTGGCTTTGCAGTGGTTCTGCACGAAATGAGCGGCAGCGAAAGCCTTTGATGCACCTTGATACATTTGAGTGATGCAGTCACAGCGCCGAATGTGACAAACCATTTTTGAGTGATGTAGCCTGTCTACAGCCAATGCGCCAGTAGAAAAAATCAAGTATCCTAGTGGTCCTAGCTGCCATGAAGGGCGCTATGCTGTATGCTCCGAATCTTTTGCTGCAGAAATTGCCGCGGATTGTTCTGGAAATTCTGTAATTTTGTCCGAAATTTGGGCAGATGTCTTGCCAGCGACAAGGTTGAAAAGGATGGCTGGAGCTGTTCTTACTGCTAGGGCTGCGTTGCCCTGCGCATGGAAGCCGTCCACAAAAACCGAATCAAATGACCTGCCTGCAGGCGACAAAATTCTTTGCAGCAGTGGAGGCTTGAAGTGGCGACAATACCGTGAATCAGCATTGTGCTATGGCTGAGACCAGGAATCAGTAACCACAAGCAGGGCGCATCGCTAACGCCGCGGAGTTCTGTGGCACTGGTACTACCACAGTCCTATGCTCCCTACATTGCACATGTTTGAAAGATCAGGCCCACTGCGCTCGGAATTCCTTGCCGGAGCACCAGATGCTTCCCACATGGGGGCTCGCTCTGGAAGTCCTCATAGAATTGTATCATACCAAATTTGTCCTCAGATCTCCTTAAACAGACCCCAAATGTACTCTGCACGCTCACAGTTTCACGGTCACGTATTATCGCTGGGATTATCGTCTTACAGCGGCTGTGTACGGGAACCTGGTCTTGAGAAATACCTACCTCACCTCCTCAATGCACTTGATGCAAGCTGCAAGCTTGCCAGTCTCCTGGGAGAATCTGGAAAGTAGAACTCCCACTTTAATCGCCCATGTGACTTGTGCGTAACATTCAGAAACCCGTAAAGTGTTCCACGTGCCAGATCTTACAAGGGGTCTAGGTTGATAGAGATTTTGCCGCATCATCCTTCCCACAGTGTGTCAGCACGGCTGTCCTTTTGCTTCCCTGAAGGACCCTACCCATACAGCAAGATCCAAATTCTCATGGGTCCGAGCCTTAACTTCGTGGACCTGAAGCTATAAGATGTTTTCGGGCTTGCAGAGTCCTGAACTAAGTATTCCAATTGAAAGAAGGATTTGATGGCCACAAACTACAGTACAAACCCAAATGGCAGTTCCGTGGCTGGAGTGTCTGAGGCAATATGCTGTCACTGCCTGGATTCGTGTTGCTACTGCCCGTCGTGTGCTGTTACTGTACGCTGTGATGGTTCACCACGAATATCCTAAATCGATCGGAAGTCTCTGGCTTCAATACGTAGCTTTCTTGCTCTCAGGACCAGGCTGTAATTGGGATCGCTGGCCAGGCAGGATTCCAAACCTTGCTGCGAACTCAGACACGGCAGACAGTCCAACTCGCATCTGCAAAGAAAACCCTGTTGGCACCAGTGCTACAACGTGAGTATCACCACATCCTGCTGCCAGAATCTGCTGCATTCAAAACAAATGAATTTGTTCCAGGTACAAGATTACAAGATTCTGCCCTGCATTGCCTGGCTTCTTTTTTGCTGCCTCCAGGGGATAATCTCAGGCTTCTGAGCCACCAACACCAGCTGCACCGCACAGGGTCATGTCCCTTCGCGCGTGCAAATGCTGCAGTGGGTTCCACGAGACAGCAAGTTGCCACGTGGATAAGAGAGCGTTGTGGACCCACTTCCTGCCTGGCATTCTCAGCCGGGCTGCAGATGTCGATCTGGCCATTGGTCCTCAGTTTGGACAATCCAGGAGCCGCAGCGCCGGAAAGCTAGTCATCAGTGGGAGAATGCAGTGTGCAGTCTCTCTTCACGGTTCAATCATTGACTTTGTCTACTTGTGCTATAGCCTTTGTTTCAGCGTGGACAATCCGAGCTTTGAGCAAGACCACATGCCGATTTTTGGGATCATGAACCAGCACCAGGCATTGTGCACGCAAACTTTATCGAATTCATCTTGTGCCGTGGAAATGTTTGTGAAGGTTGGATGGAATTCTGCTTGAGGGCTTTTCTCTCTGACAACAGTTCATGCATCGTTACCACATGTTCCCACCATTTGTTGCGTGAATTTCGTTAGGCTCGCAGGGGCACCTTCAGCCCAACACTTCTCAAACTTCGGGCTTGGAACTCCAAGTCCTGAACTCTTCGCACATGGATTTGAAACGCTGCCGACTCCGAGCTTGACACGTCATGTGCCATGCATTGCCTGCCGCCCGGATCCCGTTTTCGCAGAAACAACGAAAGTAACAACAACGAAGGTCAGCCGTCCAGCTGGATTGTTTTCCATGCACCCTGACCCGGAAAAATTGATCTGTTAATTGAGCTTTAAAATGCTTCGTCTCTGCAGAGCCCAAGGCCTAATAGCAGATTGACCTCAAGCACTCCCAATACGATTTGGAAAGTGCTCCCAGCTTGCAGGTAAGGCCCTGACATCCAGTAAAGTAGCAAAGTTCCCATAGCCACGAAATGGCATGGCCTGCTGTAAGTGGGCACATGCAGCTTTCCTTTCAGAACTCTACATGCAGGTTCGCAGATGACTTGGGCCACGGCGGGACCATGTGAATGAAGATCAGCGTGCCAGCCATTCTGCCACATGATCAAACTATAGTCAGCCTGCAACCCTGTTCACTTCAACTGCTCAGACCTTGCCACAGACAGCGTAAATGACGCTGACCACCTTGGCTGATTAGGTCTCGCAAGCATGCGTGCCACCATGCACAACGCAGACGCATAGTGTGCTGTGCTTCCCAAGCTTTGCGTGCGGCAGCACTGCGGGCAGCTGATGTAGAGCATCCCACACGGCAAGAACCTCCAAGCAGACTCCGTCTCTCCAAGTCTTCCCAAATTCCATCGATGAATCAATGCCAGATCTTCAGAGCACGGTCGACATGCCACTTTGGCTGATTCCCTCAGAGTCAGAGACTGCGCCAGGCAAGGAACTCTAACAGCCAATCTACGCTTCAGTTGCAGTTCTGATGCGCCGGCAGGGTTAGCAACGCACTGCATGTCTTTGACTTAGCAGGTGCAACTCTGGAAGTTATTTTGTTTGGAGATACATTTAGTGCCACAAGGGGACGAAGAAGGAGAGTTCAGCCACGCCCTGAGCATGTCGCTTGGCTTGAAACCACCTCATGGTGCAATGACTTTGGATCAACGAGCAGTCAGGACATCCATGGCATAACCATTTCTCCAAACACATTATGCCCCCAAGCCAGCTCTACAAGCCTGCTGCGAACGAAGAGGAATTGCAAGGCTTGAGCATGTACAGCAAGCTGTCTCAGGCATTCACCGGTCGATCCATGTCTGCCACACACCCTTGTCCGAAACCACGGATGTGGATTTGACCTGTAGATGTCCCAGCAAATCAACGATGAATTGCCTACTCGGCGTTTGAGCATGCTAGGTAGAACTGCCACCCTGCCCTGCATGACTTCCAGGACTGGGCCTAACCTTGACCTATGACTGTGTTCCAGAACTTCCGAGTCTGCAACCGGAAGGAAGATGGGTCGAAGGCGTGCTTTTGCAAGACCTGCAAGTCCAGGCAGCCCCTGAAATATCTTCCACTTTCTGAAGGGACTCCCTTCAATCTTAGTGCTTTGGGGACCCAACCTGCAAAGGAGCTTGATGGAGGGGGGGCTCCACCTCCAAGGGAATCTAAGGGGTATCTTTGGGTTCTCTCATAAGCTTACGTGAAGGAGAAATCAACTTTAAATTTCTTTGGCCATGTTGCAGTGTGGCTTTAGAAGATAGCCGAACAGCTAACTCAACGTGCAAGAGAACATCGGGTTATGGCCCCTCTTCAGGCAGGGGACGCTTATTGCATATTGCTTGGCAGGTGGGGAAGTATGTGGTCCCTCACATGACCACAGCTGAAGCTGATTTGGCCTGGGGACGATGGGAGCTCCTGACCACCTCGCGCAAGCCTTGAAAAGCGACAGCTTTGCAGGGTTGGGATGAAATGAAAGTAAAAGAGAGATAATGCAGACGGAGCGATAGGTGACCTTGCAAACCACTCTGCAGCTGCTGGCGAGCGGATAACAAACTACGGTGGAAGATTCACTTGAGGACTTACTTGAGGACTTATAGGACGTAGCCACGTAGCGGTCCCGCGGTAAGCAGCTGAACGCTCAGGACCTCACCCAGCTTCCTTCACAGCGCTGTAGAAGAAGCAACGGATGTAGCAGTGGTGGTCCTCTCGACCCCGAGCGTGCTGGAATCAACCGACCATTTGACTGCTTGATGAGATGCCGCCGCCCCCGACTCCGTTCCCCCCTCAAGGCTCCTAGCCCCAAGCAACTTATCGACTTCGCTTTTGCTGCTTGAAGGCAGCTCGGGCAGCTTGTCACGGAGGATTCGACAACATGGCGCCATGGCTTGGATTTTGCGGAAGCGATCCACCCGTATGACGTTACTTCTCCGGACTAAAGCTTCCTCGGCGCAGGCGTGTACAGCCAAACCGAAGCGGAGGGCACGAAGCGATTACATGCGATTACAATTAACTTCAAAGTAATGAACAGGGCATGCGAGCTGAAGTTCGAGGTGGTGCATGACTTGACCGCAATGGGCTTCGTCAGCATCGCCCGTGGACGTTCCAAACATAGCTATGATTGATTGTACTGGCTAAGTCGCAGTGTCAGCGCCTCTGCCCATATTCACCTGACACTGATGATGCCTCGGGCTACATGCGTCTGCGTTGCTGCATTCCAGCCCCACCATGCCCCACCAGCATTTGAGAAGGCACTACAAGACTGGAGAGGGTCCTCTGCAATGACGTCACCCTCATGAGCTTCAGCCTACAACAAAATCGTTTTTGCACCGCAATGCACTCAGGGACACAATGGCGACACTGATCACCAGCACAAACGTTTGCCAAGAGCAAGGGATGGCAAGGGCCTCCACAGCCAGGAGCAAAGGCAACGAATACGTACTGAAAGCCTCAGGGTGCGCATGCATTCGCATTGGAGGCACGGCTCCCCGGGCACGCTGGGTTGAGATAAGAACGAAGTGCTCGCTTCCAAAGCTGAGTCCAGCGACCTGCACATCTGGGTTTGGGAAATTGACGCTACGGTCAACAGAAGCACAAAGATCAGAAAGCTGAGTAGCTAGCCCCACCGCATTCCCAAATGGATGCGACGTATGCCCACACCTGTCGCTGGCACGGTAGTGGATGGACAGGGGCTGACTGCACAATACGGGCCCTACCCTGGAACACGCTGGCGATGCATAATAGTTGCGAAAGGGTAGCTGCGGAGCCTTAAGCGACGCCAGAACAAGAGAAGAAGCTTCAAGCTTTTTCAAGTCCTTTCAGCTCTGCCAGGCAAGGAGCTTGCCAAATGGTCCACTCGTGCCAGCCACCTTTCCAACATCAACTCTCAGCTTCGATGCTGCCATTTCTCCGTTTCAGGGTCCACCTCCGTACTGCCGAAGTGTGTCAAAGTCTCTGGTCAAGCGGCTGAAGTATCTCGGGTGGAAAACGACCTTGCACGTGGCAACTGAAGTTGCAGCAATTTTTGCCGAGTCTGCTTGACTGATCTGCGAGCTTGCCGAGACATGCCGAGACTTACTCCGAGTCGCGTCGGCATCAGCAACCGTGAGGAGAACAGAAGTTGGATTGACCTGCTCCTGTTCCATTTTGAAGGTGTGGGAAATGCCACATCGTGCTCCTCCCGGCTCCTTAACAAGCTCTCTGTGGGCTTGCCGGACGGCCTTGCACATAGGTGCTACAAGGTGCTACGATAGCCTGTCCACAGTCAAGTGCAATAAGGCCAGTACCCATTTCACGTTGGAGGCCTTGCCGGGCACTTCTGGATCGGAAGAACCTTGCACATTTTCCAAAGTTTTTTTCTGATACTGCATGGCATGGCCATGATTACAGGCTCACATGTGCTGTTGGGATGGATACCGTCGGCGTGCTCCTCTCGCAGATTTGACGGATGGCTGGTGCTTCGGAACCTGCACATGTCTTCTGCAAGTATCCCCAAGTTGGGAATTTCTCAGTAGACGCTTGGGAGCCGGCGTGGCGAAGTGCTTCGCAAAGCCGCTGGTCAGCTTGGCAGCCTGAAAGGTGTTACGGCTCAAGCCCAACTAAAACCAGGATCTGCAAAACTGCCTTTTGCAGCCCTTCGGGCCCCTCGCGTGCCTTTCAGGAAACTGACACACAAGCGCATCATCTGCCGCTCAACAATGCTTCCTCCATGGCGAGAACAACGTGGAAGGAGTCTGAGCCATGTGCCTGGCCGGGATGCTCATTTTTGCAAACTGCAATCAACCAACATCCAACTGCCAGGCTATGCAAGGCTATGCAGATGGAATCCACAGGAAGGCCAGCAGGCCTGAGCCAATGATGTTAGAGTCTGCGATAGCATCTGCAGATCCTGGCAACACGTCTCCAAGTTTCAGATGCGCGCTCGCTCGTATTGAGCTACAGTAGACACTTTCCTGCTGGTACGCATTCGATTCCCCCAACAGGACATATACTGAACTTGTAGTGCTGCTTTGCGGGGCTGCTTCACAGTACTTGTGACTCTTTTTGCCCCGGTCTGCCAAGCAACTTCGGCTTGAAGCTAGCACCCTACAACATACACCTCATCGTCGCATAGCTCTGAGTTCCCGCCTGAGTGCCTTAGCTGCCTTCTGCGTGTTTTTGGGATCATTCCAGTAGTGGGAAACACCAGATGGATGTGGAAACACCAACAGCCGTGTCTGGCCCCTTGTCTCGGTGTGCAGCAAAGGCTTCGAGACTCCAAATGCGCGTGCAACAGAGGTCCCCAAAAGAAGAACAGAGCGATATTTTGCCAGCTCAAGCTTTGCAGCTGCCATCTTGGCTTGGTCCATAGGGAAGACGTCCCCATCCGAGGTGTGCAGCTTGTAGCCCTTTGACACATCATGTCTTTCAGACCTTGTCTTCAATCCAGGATACCAGGATAGCAAGTTTGCACGGTCGTAGTGCTGCCAAAATTCTGCGACAGAAAGCTTGGCAAGGCGCGCTAATCTCTGTTCTGCAGGTCCAGCCAAAGGCCGCCAAGCCCTTGGCAAAGATTTCCGTGGGCCCGGCGGGGCCTGACCTAACACCAAGCCTTTGACCAGGCCTTTGCCCTCACTTACCACGTGCGGCTTCTTGACCGCTCTGCGCTTCTGCGCTCGCGCAAGCTTGACCAGGGTCTTCTTCAGCGCTTGGGGCTTTGAGGGCTTCGAACGGCCTGGCGGCCTTGCGCAGCTTCGATTGGCTGCTTTTCCCATGTGGGGAGCTGAACTGGCTTAACTTTAACATCAAATAGTCTTGAGCCTCATGGCTGGGTAGCTGTCCCACATAATGTAGAAGATGTTCACGGTCCCTTGCAGGCCAAGCACTGCTCGTTGTCGGGAGAGCTTACTTGACGCATGTTTCCAACGAACACGGTGACTTCTTTCAAGCGCGTTCAGGAACCACACCCCAGGCTTTTTGACATTGTTCGCGCTCAAAGTCTGCCCAAGGATTGCGAGAGCTCTGCCCTGAATGAGTGCCGAGAACTGAAGGTCTCAGATGCACCGTGTGGCGGGCTTTCCGTAGCTGTGCTAGCCTTGGATGCACTCAAGCAGCGAGTCTTAAGTTCCAGGCTGTTCGGGTCCACCCAGGCAAGGATCAAAGTGCGAAGCTTGATCTGCAAGAATGTCCTCCAATCCTCTAGGCGGCTGCCTTGCCAAGCAGGGCATGCGGCAATCCTTCTGGGTTGGTGTCTTAAAGCTTTTGCAATTCTTCCTTCTCCAGTCTGGCCGGATGCAAGTTCAATTAGGAAGGGTGCTACTTCCATCTTGGATTTGTATGCATCTGCATGCATCTATTCGGTGGATCCGAGCACCACACACAAGTCCGCTACAGCATGTCTACAAGGAGTGCAATGTGGATCAACAACTTACTAACGAAAGCGCCATTGCATGTCGTACCACATGACTTGAAAGTACGGTGTGGATTCATGCGAAACTGCCAGAACCAGTGACTTCACTCAGAGACTCAGCGCGGCATGTGTGTAATGCTGAATTGGTCTGCAGATGTTTGCAACTAAACCAGCCTCCGAAACAGTAGCCACCCACGCCCTTAGCTGAGCAGGTAAATCATTGCCCCAGCTGCACGTGATGCCAAGCTACGTCGGGAGAGCTCCAGGATGTGGTGGAGCAGCACTGCAGTCCTAACACGATCTTGGACTGCAGAGGTCACACTCAGCTGCCGGAATCACTAACCAGAAGCTAGTCTCCTGGTACGTAACGTCAGGCGATGCAACAGGTGCACAAGGATAGGTCGGATACCAGCAGTCACGTCTCTACTTGAACACTCTGAGATATTGACCAGAAGGCATGCCAAATTGATTCAACTGGGGGTGCAAGTGACTCTGTGGCTCCTCAGAGACGTTTGCATGCCATATTAGCTGAGCCACACCACCGAGCCGACAATGGAGCCGACCTGTAGCCAGTCTCCAGCGAAGAAAGGTAAGATCAAGAGGACCTGTCGTCAATCATCACCAGTCAGCTCTCCATGGCATCTCATTTGCCAGGATGCGTGCAAAGGATCCCATGCTGCCAGAGGGCAAAGCAGAACAAAATGGGCAACGCCAGCATTAGGCAGCACACCTTCGGCGCGGCAACCGTCTTTAGCTGTAAGATGTTGTAAGGTGCATGCCCAATGCTGTCAGCTACCTGCATTCGCATCAGAGCTACGCGAACAGTCTGTGAGAGAATAGGAAGTTTAGTGGGCAGCAGGTATAGTGATGTTGCAGTCGTGGGAGCTACAGTCAATGTTTCACGGTAAAGTAATGGACATGGGCTCATTGTTAGGACTACTAAAATACAAGAGCGACCCACAGAGTCCCTCAATGACCTGATAACTAATATTGACACTTGTTGCTTTCAGCGCTGGCTTGCCACGGCCGACCAAGGTCAGTCCCGTGCCCGGCCTTAAAGGAGCACGGCACGCGGTATGGGCCTGTAGACAATACATACAAGATCAAGGGACTGCATTTGCACTCCATCTCTGAGTGCGAAGCGCTCCATGTCGTCGTGCCTTCCTGAGCAACAAGTCTATAGGCCATTCGACCGCATAATTCCATCCACCAAGGAATGGGGATTCTTCTTCTTCTCACTGCTACACCCTCCCCGCGAGAGGAGGGCTGGAGCAACGCTCCAAGCAGGCGCTGTCCGGTCAACTCAGGTTGCTCCAGGTTCCGGGTACCAAGCATACGTAGCACTGCGAAGACCAAAGGATCAAAGTAGCCCACATCCGAGGTATGTGGATTCTCTCTCTCTCTCTCTCTCTGCCGGCATGCGGACGCAAAGCCCTCGCTGCAGTGCGCCGGTCACATGTCATTGCACTCAGGGTGAACATGACAAAACAAGATTAGCACAAAGTTAACAGAAGTATGTGGATTTTAGGCAAGGCTCTTCTAAGATAGAGGAATGCAGAGAATTCCAAGACCTTCGGCCGCACTGTGGACTGCAAACTGCAAAAAATGCTGATGTGAAACTCCACTGAGAAATCGCATCCAAGATGATGAGTTCGCAAGGCCTGCGCTATGCAGTAGACCGCGTTCAGCACATTGACAATCGCAGTGAAGCTTGATGATGAGCTCAGAACCTCAAAATTTGCAGGTAATCTCCCCAACAGCACTGAAAACCTGCCTCAAACCGGGGCCATCACCAAGACGATGACGGTTATCAAGAAGAGCCCCACCGACGGCGTGTCGTAGCGGGAGCGGTGCCCAAAGAAGCTGGGCAACCATCCGTCTTCTGCCATGCCTACAGAGACTTAGGCATCGTCCCTAATGAATCAGCACTCTCTTCTTGGCTTGATACCATATGGATGGCACCATGCCGCGGTCAATGAGGTTTTGATTTTTTGACATCAAACTCAGCGAAGCTGAACCAACCATCATCGTACTCTGACTTAAGTCCTGTACATGAGGAGGTATGGAACGAGAGGACCCTCGATGATTTCTACCACGGATGTCCGCAAACACCCTGTTCCATAAACAAACATTTTGGGACGCACCCATGTATCATCCTCCAAAGCAGGCTCGCTCCTTGAAGCTGAAACGACGCTTCAGCCATTTCTGACAACTGCTGCGCAAGGCAGCTGACAGCAGCACCAGCGATTACCCACGACCTCAGACGTGGTTGCTCAAGGGCCATCTGCTTGAAGAGACAAGTCCCCCTGACCAAAATCGCAAGCCAACAACCTTGAGCTACGTGCTTTACGAATGGACCCCCCAGTTGTCCGCCCACGCGTGCCAGCTCCCCTGACTGCCAATCCTTCCAGTGAGCAGTTGGTCCAGGTATGCCCAGGCCAACTAACCTCAAATTTGGGCAGGGCGTTCGACTGTTCTGAATCCAGCGATCCAAAGCAAAGCCAAAAACAAGAATAAACAGACATGTGAAAGCCGCTCAGCAGATGGTGCTGAGATTAGCGTTCGCACAATACTTTTGTTAATACTTTTGAAATCCAAATTGTTAACACACACAAAGACAAGCTTGGGCACATGAAGGGCAAGTGCCGCCACGGACATGTCTAGTTGTCGCTGGGCAGCAGTGGGAGGAAGTAGGACAACACCACAGCTACAAATGCCATCGCCAGAGCTCTTGGGTAGGATCGCTCTGCGTCCTGCACTTCACCAGCGAGCGTCGAAGCTGAATCCCAATAGTTGAGGTTCCAGAACAGGATGTTCCTAAGCTTTCAAGGTCAAATCAGGAACCCGCAGCATCGACTCTTCTGGAAGCCCCCCGCTAGTGGCGTCAAGAAACAAGAAGCCTGACCAGTCCACGTCCGAAACCTTGAGCAAGCACACTGCAAGTTGGCACAGGAAGGATACAAAACGCACTCTTGTTGGCTCGCTGCTTCTTTAACGGTACCGTGCGAGTGCATTTGAATCGCGCAGCAGGCGTGCAAGTGAGTCATGGGTGCATTTTCGTACGCTGAAGAAAGAGCCTACAATATTTAGTGGACCTGAACATGGCGCCGATTGCCATGGGAGCATCAAGGGAGGAGAACAAGGGAGAAGCCACCACACACCAAGAGGAATGAAGACCTTGAGGGTACAAATGACCACTCCTGGCAGAAAGAATTGACAAGTTCCTCTTTGGGCACTTGGAGATTCTTTCAAGCCCTTCTCAAGTCTGATTCGCGGGCAGTGTTATGCCTCGTGGCATCTTCATGTCATGCTTTGTTCATAGAATCTGTTGAAAAATCAAAGCTGGCCTGCCCAGTTTTGATGCAGCTACAGTGTCTGTCAGCTTGTCCTGCTTCAACCTCTTGCCAAATAGATTAAAGGTTGCTCGCTGCGTTCTGGAATAGAAGTAGAAGTACGATTCTACTGAATGACACCCGCGCAATCAAAGACACGATGATTAAGAAAGCAAGTCTTCAGTCGGAAGTTACGATGTACGCGCGATCATGAGCAGCGCAAGACGGCCAGGAAAGCGAGACTGCTTGGGTCAGAGTGACTCAGAAGGTATCAGCAGCATTTGCCCACCTCTTGCTAGTTCCTACGACTTGATTTAGCACAGCTGTAGGCGCTTATGACATTGTGAGTCTTGCTGCATCAAGAAAAAAACCTCAGCGGTCATTTTTCTGGGTTGCTGGTTTGGGGTTGATTCCTTCTAATCTGAGGTTCCCCATGAGGTTCGCAAGCTCGTTTGGACTATAGCTTTGCTGGCTTTTCGTTCCCATTCTTTTGGAGCTACGCTTCCCCTCCCTTTAGAGTTCGGGCCGCTCTTCTGGTGCCCCGCTTTAAGGGAAAGAGAGCGGTTTACTCCATGAACCCAAGTCTAGAAAATTCCATCCATGGAAAGGATCTAATAATCTAATTAATTAAGTCACGTGATTGCTGTACAGCTGGTCCTGGAATGAACCTTTATTTCGCCTCCACGCTTCAGGAAGGTAATGCAAGGAGCTGACGGGGAGACCATCAGCTTCGATGGTTCCACCTGCGGAGCTCCGACCGCAGTGATGAAGACGAAGGGGGATAGGACAAATCCTGCACTTCGTCATTGTGTAAAATACAGGCTTATGCAACCCCTGAGGAAACCGCTTCATCAATGTGACCGTCTCAGAAAAGGCCTGCAAGGGCGAAGGCCTGACCAATCGCAGAGCTTGACTACTAAGCTGGAAATCATGCGCGCGGCAGGCAAGAACAGCTTCGTCGGGTGAGAATAAATGCGTCCAAGAAACCACCCAGCCAACAATGCTCAGTCCAACATAATTGAGGCCAGCGATGCAGATGGTCAGTGCAGCAATAAAAGCCTGGCCGGCGACACCTGACCCAATCTCTGGCCACAGGGTGACCAAGTAATCCCGAAACAGCACGGGGTACAGCGAGGCATCTGCCACCTTTGTTGTCAAATGTTTAGACACGCATGCTATAGCATGCTTCCACATCATAGCCAAGCATCTGCGCTCAGCCAAGACAGAAAGCCTTCCACAAACCCCCAGAAAGGACCGAAAGCAGCAGTCACCCATTCCTTAGCCACAAGACCAGAAATGTCAGATTGCACGTCGTGAAGGGCTTGCCGTCAGGCTTAGCACTAAGAAAGGGCCATAAGCACAAAAGAATGTATGGGCCAAGTTCATAAGAGCACTGTGAAACAAGGGACACGGTTGCTGTAAAGGGCTTCGCCTCATCAGGGCGTCCACTCGCGTCCACTTAACACCCTAGGGTATGTGGCCATGATCCGGGCGACTCTAGATTGCAATGCTTCCTTGTACGCCTGTTTCGTTGAAGAATCTGATGAGGGAGAAGGAGCTGCAACAAATACCAGGCTGCAAAAAACGCGGCTGGAACTATTGGCGATGATCCTTTTAATTTGCGTCTCCTGGAAGCCATACACGCACTTCCTACGCAATGATCCCACGTCAAGAAAGTCACTGGCATGTTGACCTTCGGACTTCAATGCTCCACAACGGCAAACATCCCTCCCGGACCATTTCACTTCTGCCAGGCTTAATTTGTCAGGAATCAACGAAGCCGGCATTGCTGGGAAAACAGGTTGCCAGCTCAGCGGTAACCAGCGCTTCAGGAATTGACCAGATCACGGGCATCACCAAGAAGCCTGCCATGGCATGCCACAATGCCTACCTCTTGTCACCTGCAATCTAAATGCAATCACCACAGCAGCCTGTGAGGGATAGCAACGGCCCAGCAGCGGAAACGGCATCCTGCTGCTGCAAACACCGCAAAGACATTCGAGCTCAAATTCCCACACTGCATGGGAATTCAAAGCGCAGAAGGGTATAAGCTCAAAGACCATGAGCGTCAGGTCAGCAAACAATGGTAGCTGCTTGTAGAAATCTTGCCCGTGCAATTCGTCTACGAGCCACTGCTTCTCAAGGGCTCACGTACAATGTGGGCTTGCACAAACTTATCATGCCTCAACACCGTATGGCCCTCCGCAGACGGAGTAGTAGATAATGGCTGCAAGGCCGAGCAAGGACAACCTGCCCAGGTATGACAAGAAGCTTCATGACCAAGTTGCTGGTGCTCAGGGCCGGCCTCTGCTGTGGTCCAGGAAAACTTGGCATTGAAGCCGCGCAGGTGATGCAGCGGCTTCCATTGCCAGAATTTATCAGAGACTCAGAAGCATCAAGCAGTGCCAACCCGCACACGGCCAAGCGCGCTCAAATCTTTACTCATGCAAGCTGTAACTACAACGTGCTGTGCTTTTGAGTTTCTGAATGGACCGGAGACCTCTTTGGGCCAGCTGGCCTTCTCCACAAGTTTCTGGTGTCAGAGTTCGAAAATGGGGCAATACATGGCAGAGGGCTTGCTACTTCACAATTGCGACCGTGTTCATATACTGTGTCTAGGCTGAACACAAAGGCCAGTAGGGTTGCAGTCGATACTTGACTTTGAACACCGCGCTGCTGCCACAAATACAGAATGACCTGTGAGACTTGTGCGGAAGTAGATAACAGATAGAGCCCTTCCGCCTCCTTGTAATTGGCTATGACGATCAGATGTTGAACGTCGTCCTGCAAGTTTGCCACAAATTGCCAAGAACAACTAAGCAGGCCAAAGCCTCAGCATCTATACGTACTGCTTTGCTGTTAGGATGTTAAGAGTTCTGCAGCAGTTGCTTGCAATCCAGATTTTTCAGGATTCAGCGCCCTTGTAGATTCCCAATCTGAGGAAGCACTTCTTAGGGGCCATTTCCTCCTTGTTCTTTGTACTTCCATGTTCTTCGCTCTTCAAAGCGGGCTGTCCTTGATTCTGGAATCAGTGCCGCTCCAGGGCAATCCCAGGGCTCATTCGCGGGGTCCGTTCGGTTCCGTCATTGTCGGGGGACTTCTATGCTGTATACTCTGGCTTTCGATGCTGCCTGAACACTCATGAAACCGTCAAAGTTCCCAAAAAACCTTCAAGCCGCACACTGGGCCCTTTCATCAAACCAAAGGCCTGGCAGCAACATCGGCAGCGACGGGCAGAACGCCACAGCAACAATGACACAAAGTCGCAATGGCAAGAACAGTGCAGCTTCTGGCAAGCCAAAGACTATGCTTGCTTTGTGCGGTCCTTGTCCGGCCCCCTCTTGCGGAAATGAGTCCCGATTTTTCACGAAGTGTTGTAGACGGCAACATCTCTAGCTCTTCGAAAGGTTCATGTGGAATCTCTCACGCACGCGTTGTGCTGAACCTCCTTCAAGAATCAACAGCACTTTCTACCTGTCCTTGAACACCACGTCATACTTGCACCTGCACCCTTTGAGCTTGCGCAGGATTAAGAATTAGGAGATAACATGGACTGAAGACATGCACGCAGAACTCCAAACCCAAAGAATCTGCGCCAGCGCTGGTGAAGAAATTGGAAGGATGATGACGATGACCGGACTAAAAAAACGAGTAAAAGGACAAAGCTAGGCCACAACTGCTCCGCAACAGAAAAGAAATTGAACAGAACATCGGCCACCAAGCCAGGCAGGAGGTGGAAGGCATCGCAACAGAAGCGAGCAACAATAAGCAAAGGAATTTGGGGGGGGGAGGGGGGGGGGCGCTGCTGCAAAGTTTGGATAATCTTGTTCTCGTTCACACGCAACCTAAGGGAAAGCCGGAATCAAGACCTTTAGCTGCGCTTTCACATGTTTATCATGTTTTTCGCGCATGAAAAAACAACCCCGGAACTCAATGTGACAAACTCACCGTAACAAAAACACAAAGCAAGAGTCTGAGAACAACCCTCATACTAATTTTAAGACTCGAGTCAGGCTGGAAATGTTCACCTCATATTAACAAACCCCCGCGTAACTGCAAAATCCAAATCGCAGAACGTAATTACAAACACCCCCGTAATTGCAAATCCAACCTGCCAAAACGCAAAAATTCTGGAAGCGCGCGAAAAGTACGATGTGGGTCTGATGACAGAGTGGTCTTCTAGAGCAAATGGTGCTTCTACTACTGGCCAGTACTACTATTGGCTACGACGACTGGAGTTCCAGCTCACGGTCCCGGACGCCCTTAATAACGGAGGCTCAGGTTCACATCCTCGGGGGGGTAGGGGGCGGGGGGGTTCTGATTATGAGGTTAACATTAGCTAGGACGTCGCAGCAGACGCTCTCGGGTGTTGCTGAAAAATACGGCTGTCCTCGTGCAATTCGGCTGCCTCGTTCTGCAGTTCCAACGCCATCTTGCGGACACCAAGCAGGCACAGAATGCCTCTGCAGCTCATTCCAATGCCTCAGAGATGCTCTCCATGCGGCTCATTCGTTCTGAGCTTGCTTTGCGCTGCAGACCACGACAAGGCTGAGGAGAACGCACAGACTGGCATTCAAAATAGCCTTGGCATCGATCGGCATTCTGGCGCCAGATATTCTCAAATGTTCGGTGCCACTTTCTATTGGCATTGAGAGAATTGCGCAACAGTTGAGCAGGTTGTAAGGAGTCAGCAATGTCAGCGGAATACCCGGTCACCCATATTTCCCCAAGCCAGAACCTCATCTCTAGCTGACTCAGCTTCCTGCGCAGATGCTCAACCTCGGACAGATTCCGACATGCAGGAATTGCCAGGAATTGCCAGGGGATTTGCAAAATGCACTCCTACATCTCCTACTATTCCTACGCACGCAGCGAAGAACATTGCACTCCACTCAGCTGGTGTTCCATGCGACGGCTTGCGCATCTAACAGCACTTCACGAGCAGCAATGGTTCACTGAAACGACAGGACTCTGATGAGCCATGCGGCTGTGAATTCAGAACCCTCCTTGTCGAACCCGCGCTGAAATTGATCCAGGAAGCAAAAGTCTCGTTGACAGCACGAAGCCAAGAGCCACCAGCGAAGTCACCTGGGCAATGGGATGAAAGACTGCCACTTTGCAACCGGCTTGTTTTGAACAATCTGCTCATCCAAGCAGTTGAGGCAAGGACCAGCAGGAAGAAAAGCAGAGGAACCAATCTTGCCTCATGCGCGACATGTACCAAGAACTGACCGAAACCTCGTATGAATTGGAACATGCTGCTTCAGATGCTTGTCTTTCTGAAGAATTGAATGTCAATCATCGAACACACGTCCACGTACCACAGGCCCGGGCAAAGGTGGCTGCACGGCGGCGCTCGTGGATGTTGGCTTTGTGAAACGAATAAACGGCCTCTGTTTCGACACCGTTGCTCCCCTGGGCAAGTGATAAATCAGCACTACGCGGTCGCTGACTGAACCAGACAACACACTAAGGTCCCAGCGTGGCTGCAGGCATGCCATCCATTCTCTACGTCTGCCGACATCAACTACAAGGGCATACCAGTAGCAACGATGACTCAACAACTACGAATAAGTCCATGGACGACCTGTGCTTTACTCTGTAGCGCTGGAAGACAATTGCTCCGTGACATGAACAGTCGGGATGCGAATGATATGAAGGTGTTGAAAGGAAGGTGTTGAAAGTTGAGATGCACTGTTGGCGCGCGGAGCGACTGGATTCTCCAGCGGAACACAGCATTTCAAAACGTTTGATGTGCCCATCACAGACTCCAGCAATCTCCAACATGGCACTTTTGCGAGCTGCAGCCGGAGAGTTGTGCACAGGAGATGAATGTCAGTAGCTCGCAGGCTGGAATGATGACTCGGCCTCAGGATGGGCGCACAAGATCTGGACACGAATCGACCAAGGCCTTGGAATTTGAGCTTAGTTGACACGTGGCTGAGCCTTGGTTGCAGGGATCCAGCGCAGCGGTCATGCCGAGTTCTTTCAGCAGATGCAGCACCGCCGGTCGCAAAACGGATTCACCTTGTTGCATGATGTCATGATGTTCCATGGTGAGTGTAGCACTGTACAAGTCAACAACCATCTGTCTCCCCTTGCAATTGCAGTCCGGCCTTCAGAATGGGCTCCGCGTCCAGTGACAATTATCAGGCCTTACCCGCGCTGGAGGCGTGAGGTTTGCCAAAGAAAATATGGCAGGGTTCGCTAGGCCTCAAGGGACTCGAGTTTCCAATGAGGGGTCAGTACTCAGTAGTCGCTAGTGTCGCTAGTGAGTGTATTCCATACTAACGTGTTCCGAAGTTGCCCATTCCACAAACGCCTGAAATTAAGAATGCCCACGCGGTTGATCTTGGCACGTTCGAAACCTTGACGCAATGTGCTGTGCCCCGGACCCCGCTCTTGCTTTAGTTGCAGCTCAGGCACCCCAGGATGGCAACGTCCCAGGCTTCAGCATGACCGCGTCCAAGAGTGCGCAGGAAACTGCCAAACGCGCCTCGCATCACTGCGCTTCCTCACTTCGTCTTGAGTCTTCAGGGCACGCAGAGCTGCTTCCCCTCGCCTCCTCAGGCTGCAAGCCGTGTAGGTCCAAGTATCCAAACCGACGGCCTGGAAGCCATCCAGCTCCAGCTCTGCAAGCACCTAGCCGTGATCCACGGAGCGGGCGTTCCCGATACCAAGCCTGTCGCGATCACACTGCTTCAGCGGCCAAATCCAGGTTCTGGAGCAGCTTGCAGCAGAGGGACCAATGCTTGTGTCAAATCGCCCATGTCCACATGGCTGGTCATACCCGCCGCTCGGAAGACATCATCGGAATCCATTCCAGCAGCCTCCCCAATGCGTCCCGAGCTTGCAACTTACTCGAATCATGCAGAAAATTTCAGAAACTCCGGAGTGTGTCCAACGCCTCCATGCTTCGAAGAAGTTGTAGCACTTGATGCCATTTCTCGCTCTTCTGGCACGCGGACACAACCACGGACAGCGTGAGCCTCAAGCCGCATGCTGAAGGCTTCAAAGAAAGTGCACTGCGATCAACACGGTCGCTTCAACAATACATGCATCCAAGCTCGCAATGCAGTGCCAATCGCTAACCGAACCGAAAGTATGGCTGTGGATATGGGTTACAATATCGACCTTACAAATAGAGGCGCCGCATGCACACCCCTACACGTCTGCCCCCCCAGGCACCCGTACACCCAGGCTGGAGAGTTGGTGTAGAAGTGTTGGGGGGGAAGGTAAGCCGGCGACTGAGCTGGCGCTGCTAACCACCCCACGGGAAAATTGGTGTTGGAGGACGAATAGGGCTAAAGAATTGCTGGTGCGTTTGGCCTTGAGCTGTCCCTTCAGGATCAAGGCGGGAGTCTTGGACAGTCAAAGGACCAAATACAAATTAAGTGCTTATCCTGATCTGGCCGAATTACGTGATGCCATGCTCTCTAGGCAGTCAAGTCAGTCCACAAAAGCCTGGTCCAATTCGGAGACGTGGCATGGAGGCTTCTGTGTATGACCTGACCCAGCCTGCTCAGAAAAATGAGGCAAAACCTGAGGCAACGACTGGCTCAGCTGCAGCCCTGCAGAGCATTCTTTCTTGGGCTAAGCTCCGCAGAATTCTGGACATGAGATGCAAACAGCTTCTGGCAGCCAAGCTCGGTCCTGCATTCGAGGCATCTGCCAGACATTGTAGGCAACTCTCCCAGGATGAGCTCTGCTCGAACACGCGGCTCAGTGCGTTGAAGGTGCCGTCAAGCAAGCGCAACTTCCTTGCACTGGCCAGGATCTTTGCATCGCAGCGTTGGCGGCCAGCTTGTGCCAAGCGCAATAGCAAACCAGATGCTACAGTAACCATCTTGCATTAGTGATCCTTGCCTTGCCGTTCAGTTTTGTAATCTGGTGCACTCCTCTTCACAAACGCTCAGGTGGATGGAAAGCTGTTCAGACTTTTGGGATTTCTGCTGGTACATTTGCCATGCAGCGTGCTGCAGGTCAACCACTAGCAGGCTCGATGCTGCGAGAGATTCCGCTTGCTTAGCGTTGCATTTTGGGCGGCTCAATGTCACCGGACCAAAATTTTGATGATGACGTAGATGGTCAACAAAGTTACATGCGGGTCCCTGCGCATACTTGCCTCTCACATGTTCTAGGCATGCAGAATCTTCATTGGTGCTTGTGAGCTCCAATGCGCATCTGGCCAATACAAGTCGTAACGCCAAGTTGTAACAATTCAATCCACGTCCCGGACCCTGGCTGTGGAAGCTGCACGCAATTTGTCAAAGCGGGCGGAGGCCATCAAAACTCCCGGTAAGCAGCTGTCGACGCTGACGAACGCGCTGACGAACGCGCTGTCGAAAGCTAGCACCCGCCTTAAAGACGTAGCTAGAATGATGGCCTCTGAGATTCAACAAACTGCATGTGCCTAAATCGAATTCGCATGTGTGGAGGGTGCTTCCATCATTGGATTGCACAGGGGGCCGAGGTCTACAAATATTTCCTTGAAACTGACACTCTTCAAGACAAAATCGCAAGTTGCCTTGCTCTGCACAGGAATGAACGCTTGAGATAATGTTCACTTTCTTCTTCTTCTCCGCACTATGCGTGTCCTGGCGAGCCAGGGCCACGCTGGGCTACGCCCGCCCCAAGCGCCGGGTCTCCAGTATCCGTACATCATAGAAAATTGAACTCCAAAAGGGCTCGGCACGCATCACTCCCGCTTCTTCTTCTCCACCCACCCCGCCCTTCTGGTCGTTCCCTCAAACTTCGGAGAATCCGCTAAGGAGAAAACTCTTTCGAGATTTAGGCCGAGGAAAGGTTTAAGAGTTATCGCGAAACATGTGTCCCTTAAACCCAACCATGAGTAGACAACAGTTCCCTCGCATCAATCTTCCCAGCATCTCACTGCCCTTGGTGCTGCGGTTCACACTTGTCTACATCACGGTCCCTTGCACATCCCGAATTGGCCGCTTGGCTCATGAACTGCTACGTAGTGTTTGCATACGCCGACGCTTCCGACCTAAAGGTGCTCAAAATCATCCAAAGCACATCCAAAGTATTCCTTCCGACATCAACCTTGCAACACATTTTCTGACTTGTGGGTGGGTACTGCGATTTGCTGCATTGGATCGTTATGGGTCACGGTACGCCAGCCTCCCTGCAAGGCATTGTTTCCTGGTTGCTGGTACGCATGCCGAATTCGTGCTTCCCTGTCACTTAACGCAATCTTCCATGGTTCAGATTGTCGTAGTTGGATCAGCGTTTTCCAGCGTGTCCCTGTTAAATTGCACAAATACCTCATCATCCTCACTATCATGCCTCACACACAATCAAGTCGAATATTTCGAATACTTTGCCACAAAGCTTTGGATGTGGTGGTATGTTACCTGCTCATCCATGTGACCGCTTAGCTCCTGTTGTCTGCTCTCAAAGATACCAGTTTCCACCTCGCAGGGTTCCCGCGCTTCCTTCTCACACTCCTTGGCCCTTGGCCACAAATAACGCGAAATACTTTGCTTCCTCCAGTCTGAACTGCCTTTCTCTTTCTTCAGGCTGGGGCTCCCCATAACGCGCCGCACGCACGGCTTTTCAGCTGGTTCCGATGGCTTGGTATTCTGATGCCAAGCAGGATTTTGGTCACAGTAGCCTCTTCCTCAGTTTCGTGCTCATCTTGTGTTACTTTTGGCTGTCTTCTCCTTGGCGATATAGGTGCTCCCACATTCCAGACGTCGTCTTCGCTGCTTTCCATTTCATCCAGCGGGGTGTCTTCCCTCACTCTCATTGGCGAGGCTGGGGGTTCCCTGTACCGCATCTCTTCACATCGTACTGCAGGTCGCTCATCCCGTGTCCAGTGCTTTTCGGGTGACTCCAGTAACCGCCGCTCCCTCCCTTCTCTCTCCAATCTCGCCACCGCCACATTACCGATTTTGGAGTTGTCCGCTCTCGCACTTGCTGGCGATGGTACTCGAAATTTGGTCCCTGTTGCCCGGTTAACCTCCTCTTTGTTGGGTTTTGTTTCTTCTTCCTTTTTCTCGCTCGTCATCTTCTGGGTCAGCGGTTTCTCCTGTGAGCTTCGGCGTCCTTCTTCTCTTTCTCCCCAGTTCAGGATTTGTTCAATCATATCCGGACTTTCCTCTTCTTCCTCAATCGCTGCCCCGGACAGCGCGCTGTGACTGTCGCTCTCACTTTCCTACGACAGTCAAGCGTGATGCGTTGCTTTCTCCAGTCAGCTCTCCCACAATGGTCATTTTCTGGGCTGTCGTCCTCTGAGTTTTTGCCCTCTTCTTTTTCCTTGTTGTAAAGCTTGATGTGGATCAGTGTGTCTCTGCTTTACTCCCGGCACGCGAAGCGCACTTTTTTTACCTTGGCTGTATCGTCTGACTGTCATCCCCACATTTCCTTTTTTCAGCTTGTTTCCTCTGATGTTGTCGGCGCTCCTCCACAGACGCTCTCGCAGCGCTGGAGCTGCTTGTAGCCATGGCTGTGCATTTTTCCAGGCTCTGTCCCTAAACTCCCTGACATTACATGTGACAAGGCTCCACATTAAACCTTAAGACTTCCAAAATGAAGGATCCAGGTCAAAGACTTCCCCAAAACGAAAAGCAAAGCACAAGTGATTCGTCTCCCCCCTGAATTCAACGCTGACTTTCCCTTCTATGTCCGTTTCTTTCCTCCAGCGACAAGGGCTTATCAAAAAGACCAACTATTCTTCGGGTGAATAACACACTCCGAATGACCCAAGTTGGAAATTCCGCCTAAGTCGTTGCTGCCACGGAGGGGGCTCGAGGTACTCCCGCATGTGCGAAAAATTCTAGTCTCCCACCCCGGAAGGAGCCGGCCTTGACTGCATCCCCGAAAGGAGGCGCGGCGGATGACTTGAGCCAAAGTGGCAACGCTGACTCTTTCTTCTTCTGTTCCGGGGCGCTGCCCCGCGCCCTCACAAGTTCGTGGTGTCCAGTCGGGTACCCTAAAGGACCGAAACGTACCCAAGCGAAGGTCCACTGACCCCACAGATGAAGCCCCTTTGAGGCAAGGAGCTCAATCCGAAGCCCACACCCCACTGCAGCTGGCTGCCGATTGAACACTTTCCTACTCGATAGAAATGGCTGTGAAACTGCATGACCCAAGCTCAACGTTCCCACCATATTCACACCTCACAACACGAAACTCACTGTGAGTACGCTGACTCTCTTTTTCTTCTGTAGGCTACGCGTGCTCTTGCGAGCACGCTGGGGCTAGACCCCAAGCCCGCGCGATCCGTTGCTGGCAGCAGGGAGGTTCACAAGTTCACCGGATGATTGCAAATCTTACCTCTTCTTCTACCCCGCCCCAATCCGAGCAATTCCCCCCTCCTGCGGGAAAATAATCGCAGAAACTTTGGCAGAGGAAGGTTAGCTTTTGCCCCTGCATTCTAATGCCAATGCTCAAAGGTCACGTTTCGTTCCCTTGTTATTGATGAGACATATCTTCCCAATGACACAGACGATCGTAAAGTCCCATTCCCCATCCTTATCCAAGTGAACACGCATTTCCAAGTCAATGTGGATCTTGGCTGCGGCTCTACTATATACATCTGGTTACACAGCCGGTCTAGTCAACCTCTCTTCCCGATGTTGCAGTGCAGTTATCTTCCTAGAGACACGGTTGAATTTCCCGCTTCCTTCCTCAAATGGGACAGACTCAATAACCCAAACAACACCGGTCCCAGGCAAACTTCACTCCCTTTGTGGCCGAAACTTGCGAATTCATGCATGGATCGTTACTGGCTCGGTACGCTAGCCTTGCGACACGGCCTTACTCCCCACTTGCTAGCGCGCATGCCTAGTTCCTTCCCTTCCCTTTCCACAAGCATAACTTGCCAACTGTCAGTTTGTATCAGTCAGATCGGTGGGCTCAATATGCGTCACTGTCTCTGAAACTGTGTTTGCGGACACTTTCCTCTCACACTCCTTACATGGTGTATCTCTCTACGAAGTCACAGACGCGGCGATACGTGATCTCCTCATCCAGATGCGTGTTCAGGTGTTGCAACTCTCTTCCTAGAATCTTCACCTCCAAATCGTGCGGTTCCCGCGTTCTTGCCTGCAGCCTTTTGCAACCAAGAGTGCAAAGTATTTCACTTGACTAACTTTTTTCCAGTTCTTCGTTTTCTGGGGCTTCTCCCGTCAGCACCGGCTCGGCTGGCCTGATGTTCTTGTGCCAAGCTGGACTGTCGGGGACTTCCACCTGGCATGGCGTCTCCCCCTTGTCAGCGTCATTGTCAGCTTGTTTCTCTGCTTCTTCCTCTTCACGCGTTGCTGTATGCTCCCCTGCCGTCGGCAACTGTGGTATTTCTACCTGCCAGAATGCTTCACTCCCATCGCAGCTTTCTCGACTATGGAAAGGTCAGGGCGTACCCTTATCGGCGAGCCTTCCCCTTCCTGCTGCAAGGATGTTCATCTCACATGCTCCTCATCTCGTTTTGGTATTTCCTGCGCTGCAACCATCTTTACGCTTCCTTCCTCTTGCTTCATGCTCCCTTTGTCCATTGCAGGGGCTCGGTCGCTTGTCCACTCCTCTTCCCTCCTCCTGTTTGCTTGCTCCTTTAGTCGGGCGATGGCCACGTCGTCCAGTACAGACTCATCCACCCTCGCACAAAGAAGTGGGGCCACTCGGGCTCTTTGCTCTGGAACGGCTGCAGCACCTCCACGCGGTTGTACCCTGGCCCCCTCTGGTGGCGGGACCTTCCGATTTTTCCCTTCCTCGGGCTTGACTTCTCGACTGCCACCGTCAGTTTGCTTGCGTTCTGGTTGGTGCCCTTCTGCGCGTCGACGTCTTTTGCTATCATCCCCTTTGCTCCCCTTGTTCTTGTCTTGCACTCTTCCCAATATTATGACTCCGACCAAATCAAGACTCGCGTCGCTGTCCTCGTCTTCATCATAGTTTTTCCTTGCCTCAGGATTTCGAGTAGTTCCGGAGCCACTCGACTGTTCTTTCCCGGGGCTGTTCTGTCTCTCCGGTGTGACTGAAGACTCTTCCTCCGCTGCTGGTCGCTTCCCTGTCTGCAACTTTGCGTTCCCCTAGGGTTTCTTCTCTGATTTCTGCGTTAGTGCTGATCCAAGCTTCTGTTCGCCGCGGGGTTCTCCCTTATGCTGACTCTTTCTTTCTTTCTTTCATACGGGCTTTGGGGAGACCAGAGGTCTCCCCGGGCATCCGCTCCTTTCTTTCTTTTACTTTCGTTCGGGCTCTGGGAGGTCCTTGATCACCCCGGGCGCCCGCCCAACCCGTGTTGGGCTACTCAGAAACATACCCCCTCTGCTCCCCATTTCCGGTGCTTTCTTTCTTTCTTTCTTTCTTTCGTGCGGGCTATGGAGGAGGGCAGTTGCCCCCCTCCGGGCTTCATTGCCCAGCCCGTGTTGGGCTGTTTGGTTGGACTCTAACCCCTCATACGGCTAGGTTGTGACCTGGTTGTCGGGTACTGCAACAAGTTTGGGGAAAGCGTTTGTGGTACACAACCACACCTTGTTGGCAGCTTATATCACTGCACTGGTGAAATACTTGACTCCACTTGATTGGCTACAAGTCATTATCTAATATGTAGCTATAAAGGACACACAGGACCTCTGCAATCAGAACCACAGAAAGAGACTTAGTGTGTTAGCTGTTGTGTGTGGAGTTGTCCTTGTTGAAAGGTGAAACTGAGTGGTCGACTATCATCCAGGTTGTCTAGTCGCATCACATCCTTTGTTTGTTGGGGGCAACTGCGAAAAACAGCGTAACTGTGTATAAACTCTGGAGACAACTGCCTATTTTGTGATGTTTGCCCACTCCCCCTCATGTCATCACCTTTGTGTGCTCCCTTCTTTCTTTCTTTCTTTGAGGGTGGTGAGGAGCTCTACAGCCCTGCTAGGGCGCGGCCCCACACCCAAGACTGTCGCGGCTTCGAGTGGTCACACTACACGAGGAACGACCCACTTCCGGACTTCAGATAGGCGGGTTACTGAATGAACTAGTCCGGCCGTGCATCCTACTCAGTGTAGCTGTGAAACATTCTATCCCACGCTAACACTGGTTCACACACTGCTTCAATGCTGCAAGATTTGTGTGCTCCTTCTTCTTCTTCTCCCTGCTCTATCCTCCCCACATGGAGAGGGCTGGGGCCCGGCCCCAAGCAGCGCGGTCTCTGGCAGGCAAACTGTCCCAGGCCCCGACTACCAAACATTTGTGTGCTCCCTCTCTCTCTCTCTCTCTCTCTCTCTCGAAACTAACTTAACACTGGAACTACCCTGAACTTCCACTCCCTTCCCGCTGCTGCGCGGGTTCCCTCCCTGCCTTCGCTGCATCTGCGCACAGAGCTCTGAAACAAACTCCCAACGATTTGCCCGCAGGCAGGCACTCATTGCGGTGTTGTAGGAAATGGAATCGGGCTTGGGCCTGGAATCAACGTTGACAGCACAATGAATCATGTGGAAGGAAGTTTGTAAGGGCAGGACCTCGTTGATAGCATGTCCAAGCACTCTTCCCAACGCGAGCTCTGAGCCAAGGCGGCCAAAACTGTGTTGACCTCCAGAATGGAATGTTGGTGCTTGCAGATTACTTTGGAACCCCTGGCCCGCCCTAGGCCCTAGTAGCAATGTCGAAGAAAAGTCCTTATGGCTTTCGCTTTGGCCTGTCTCTTGCTGGAATGCTTCGACAGGCCTCCCGATCTTTGAATCTTTTGGCATCTCGTGCTAGTTTTCACCCTGAAGGATTAAACTCAAGCTGCGAATCCATGCATTCCGGCCTGACCCTCTGGAAAAAAACCATATAAAGACTTCGAGCAGGAACGAGCCCCCGAATAAGCATGATTTGCCGTGAGGGAGGAAGGACCTTAGCGCAATGATGCCAGCATTTTGTGGCCTTTTGTGCTTAAGAATCGCACAGGCCCTTGCCTGGGTGCCAGCATGGAGGGAGCTGCCCCATGCACACTGATTGCAACGCTGTCATTTTTGAACACCGACTGCGCTGTCGGACTACATCGAGTCAATCGAAATTTTGACTAGAGGGAGCAAAAGCAACAACGAGGGCCTACCGCACGGCTTGCTGAGCGATTTACTTACAGAGGCTCGCTGCTTCACGTGACTAAAAAATCCAGGCTGCCCTGATGCTGTTCAAGCTTTCCCTAGACCGCTGACACTTCCTGAGGGCCTTTCATACGGTCTGGAATTAAGTTGGCATCTTTGTGCAGGGCTCAGTCAGGCTCTGTCAGTGTGAGCTTTCTGGACTCCCATTTGCATGGAAGGGAAGAAACAATTAGGACTTGAGATTCCAAACTGGTCGTTGATGTAAGCCTTTACTTAACGCAATGATGGGCTACTAGCCCAGCAGATGACAGGATTCAGTTGGCAGACGAAAGCAGTAACGTGTTGTCTAGAGTTGGTCCTAGCCGTGGCTGAGCCCTGGGCTACGAAAGTTCAAATAACAAGGATGACGCAGACATGCGTGACATACCATGTGCCCCGCGTGTACGTGTACGTTCCTATGCTGTCTGATCCGGAGGGTCTGGATCGCACACTTGATCCGGAGGGTCTGGAACGATGACTGACTCTTGCTGGTTCCAGCAAGTGATATGGGGTGAGTATGCGCTGAATACTTTGTTCGGGGTCTGGATCGGGATGTGCGCTCGCCCGTGTTCCGGACCTTCCATAATTATTGCCCGGTAGCCATGTGTGGCACTTGAGAGTATCTGAAGCCCCTGCCATGATGATGTCTGGCTCGAAGAACCTCTGGGACTCGGTGTAAATTGCAAGCGCTGCGTGCCACCGGCCACCTGGCAATGATTGGCACGGGAAACGGAGAGAGCAAGTTTTGGTCACGGAGCTTTTGGACCTCGTGCAGCTGCTGCCACTGTGGCATTGAAAAGCACCAGATCTGGCCGCACATGACGTTGAGACTCCTAAGAAGAAGCATTTCAGACTTTGGAACTGCCTCACTGTGCCAAGCACCGGCTAGCCGTCCTCAAGAAGCGCGAGAGCTTGGCTCCAACGCAAGCCTTGACCACAAGCCTTCAAGAGACCGCGTGTGGTCTGCATCAGAAAGAAGCCTTCTCCAGCCTCCACGGCAGCCGCAAAAGTGACCACCGTTGGCTGGATTTGCCGCTTGCTCATTGCTGGGAGCAGGGCCAACGCGCCCTGCCACACGAGGCACTACGAGCTTGAGATGCAAGCCTTCATGACATGCCGACCTCCCAGCAGCCTCTCTTGCAAGCTGTGATGGCAGCATTCCAGGCAATGACGTCAGGCAAGAGCAGCTGCAGCTCCATGCCAAAGACTACGCACAAAGCCACCTTGAACAGCAAGAATGGGGTAAGAGTGTTTGATTTTTTGTTGTCTGTTCTTTTTTGTTGTTTGGGCTTTTGGGGTGTTCTATTATTCCTGTTTGGACGGGGCGTGCTTTGAGTTTTGCTGTTTGGGCGTGGGCCACGCACGCCCCTGCCCAAACAGCAAAAAATAAAACACGCCCCCCCCCCTCCCCCGCCCGAACAGCAAAAAAAAAGCCCCTCCCCTTCCTCATCGATCCACTCCGAAGCTCGAGTTTCAGCAAAAATGTGAGGGCGCTCCAGGTAAGGGTGCATGTTTGTGTTTGCTGTTTGAGGGGGGGGGATGCGTGTTTTGTTTTTTTGCTGTTTGGGCGGGTGGCGTGTTTTATTTTTCGCTGTTTG